TACTGTGAATAAAGTGTGCAATTCCTATCAATTGGATAGGGGGTCGGGCTCTGAATGAGAAACTGTAAGGAGCAGAAGGAAGAGCGTTGCAGGCAGAGAGAACAGCCTCGCTACCTTCACACACACACACACACACACACACACACACACACTCACTCCACTTAAAGGCCTTCAGTGCCTCCCAATCAGGTTTAGAAAGAACCTCAATATAATGACCATTCCATTAAAAGGCCCTTTGCTAATAGGCAAATAGAAGAAAAGAGCCGACATTTTCTTTATCAGACACTTAAGGCTTTTGTTTGTTTGCACACTTTTAAACGCAATACTCCCTCATTCTATGAGGTGAATGCCGTTGTCGCCCCGTTTTAGAGCGGACGAAACGGAGACTCGGAGGTGGAACGAGCCGCCCAGTCACCCTGCTAAGAAAGATTCAGAGAATAAGGCAGAGCGAAGGCAACGCCTGAGCAGAGGCGCGGGAAAGGAGAGGGTGCCAGCAGGCGACAAAACCACCTGGAGCTCAAAACGGCAAAATCAGCGGGACGGATGAATGTGAGTTGAAAACGTTCCGTTTTTCTTCTCAAGGAGTGGAGGAAGTTCTGCGGAAACGAGACCTCCTCTCTGCATTGCCAGGAAGCAGCCCCGTCTGGCTCCCTCCCATCAGCAGAAGAGATGCCCACCACTAGCGCGGCCACCGAGCGGCTCCCCGCGGGGCCTCGGAGCCTCCCGAAGAGGAAGGACGGACGGACGGGACAGCCCGGCGGCCGCAGGCGGAGGGAGAGCGCCCGCGTGGACCGCGAGCACCGCAGGGCGGCGGACACAGCGCGGGGCAGCCGGCAGGGCCAGCTCCGCCTGCGAAGGGAAGTGCGCTCACTTCCCACCCGGAGAAGCTGATGGGTCCCCGGCAGGTCCTCCTCAAATCCGCCAGAAACGGGAATTGCTCCGCTGCACCGGCACGTCGGGTCAGCACAGACCGGCCCGAGAGCGGGTTTGCCTCCTTCGGGTGCTGACTGTGCGCCCGCCTGCCTCCGTGCCCGCTCCTAGGTCCCTACCTTCCGTTTACGTGGAGCGCACACACGTGTCCCCTATCTGAGTGTGTCCACGTGTGTGTGCGCTTCAGTGTAAGGAAATGGCATTATACCGCAGTCTCATTGTCTCTGTGCCGCGTCTTACCCCGTCCTAAGGATCGGATCTCACGCTGCTTCGTGTGCACGGAATCCACGGCTCCTCATTGATCGTAACACCCACCGTGAACAACCGGATTGTCCCAACCCTCTAACAGCACAGAGTGACCGCACTGACCACTGCGGAGCTGCGTGAGAACCGCCTTGGGCACGTGCCGGGGGTAGTGCCGAGGCAGAGGGTGCGCGTCCACATCACCTGGCTGAGCGGCCCCGCGGACCCCAGAACCAGGGCACCCATCTGAGGGGCGGTCCCCGAGGGGAAGCCGGTGAGAGCCACGGCTCCCGGCTTGTTAGCTGTGTGACTTGAGGGATCTGTCCGACGTCCCTGAGCCCCATTTTCTCACGTATAAGGTGTGAACGAGCACAGAGCCTGTGCCGGGAGGTTACCCTGAGCACTGAAGGAGAGAACGATGGACTGTTCGGCACGGGGTAAGTAGATAAACGTCATCGCTGATTCTCACTGTTTCCCATCCAGTAAGATCTCTGACCTCCTGGCGGACTCCGACTCCTACCCTGGGAGGTCAGTGGAGCTCATCCTCCTCAAGGCCCAGAGAAAGAGCGGCCAGACCAGGTGTCAGGCCCGGGGAGGAGTTGTCCGAGGAGGAATCTGAGCGCAGCTTCCGCTCCCTTCTCTGCACGAGGGCCCGAGGCAGCGCCGGGATTCCACTCGGGCAAAAACGAGTAATAAGTAGGAATCAAACCCGCGCGTGGGGACCCGCCCACAGCTGGCACTCTGTGGACCTCCGTGCTGTCCCTGCGCACACACTGTCTGAGAGCCACGCAGACCTGCACCCTGGAGGCTGGGGAAGGCGACCGAATCACGCGGGGTCAGCCCGTTCTCAAGCCCGGAAAGCCCATCTTGGTCCTCGATCATTTTGTGAGGTAGCAGCCGGGGAGGTGCACCACCGAGACAGTCCTTCCAGACAGATCCAGCCACTTGTCTGCACTCAGTGTGGCCGGGGACAGCTCCAGCTACAGAGCTTGCATCGTCTCAGCTTTGGAGCCAAGGCCACCACCTTGTGAACAACCCCATCGCATGACTGAGCACAGAGGGCGGGCTAGGACCTGGACGTTCTACCACCACGTGGTGCTCCTCTACCCCAGAGCTCTCCACGGGGTTGGCCAGACTTCGTCAGATTTGCATCCTGTCTGAGGCTCTCCTCGTGGAATCCTGCTTCCTCACCCTTCTATGTTTTACAGGGCCCCCCCCCCCCCCAGTAACCCTACTGGACTCCTAACTCCATCCCAGAGTCTGTTTCCAAGAAGACCCACTGACACAGTAAAGAAAACACTACACATATTTGTCCAGTGGTCCTATTACCACATGATAACCCGACTTTAGGAAACGCACCGCCAGGCTCTGCAATGACACTATGCGCCAATCCCAGGGTCTGAGCTGTGCACGGAGGCAAAGGCGGCATCTTCCACCAAAACCAGAGACCTTTAGAACAAGTGATAAGGACTAATCTATCTGCTTTGTGACCTCATCAGTGTTCACTGAATATTGAACATTTACTCTACACAAGCTAATTCTCCTTGGATGACTTCCCTTCTTTGTTCTATCGATACATTAAAAAAATTTTAAATATATGATTTGCTGGGAATAAAGATAAAGAAACTGAAGATCAGAGAGAGTGTCAATGTCAATGTAAATTAATTTAAACTTCGGATTTTGTTTAAAGTGCCAAAAATGTCATATATTATCACAAACCGTCATTTCATACACTTCTTCATCTATAAACATAAATGGAAGTGGTTTTAAAGCAACGGGTCTCAGCCAGGGGCAGCTTTGCCTCCTAGGGGACATCTCGCTGCATCTGGTGGTCACACTAGTGGGAGAGGCAAGGTGCTGCTGGCATCCAGTGGAAAGAGGACAGGGATGCTGCAAAATATCCTACAATGTACAAGACGGCCCCACAACAAAGAACTGTCCAGCCTTAAGCGTCATAGTGCAGAGGTTGGGAATCCTTGGTTTAAAATTATGGGAAAAGTGTCAATGTCCTGATTGTTTTATTGAAAGATGAAGTAAAGGACACATTCTGCCCATAATCCCAGAGAGATTTTTTCTTTGTTGTACTCAACAATACCTGCCCGTTTCCTTAGAAAAGAAGTTGGAACACTGACTAAAACAGAGTTCATTGCCCTTATACAAGGGAGCAGTGTTTTTAAGAACACCTTCCAAATGCCACGTGAGATGGAGATGCAGGAAGCCCGTCAGACCGCCAGGGTCTGTGACTGTCTCCAGGCCCTGGGAGCTTCTTTCTTCCAGCCACTCGTTCGCCCTCCGTCACCCTGGTGACGTTCTCTCCCTACTTCTAAGCCGATCTTGTCAGTCAGTGTACGACACACTCCTCATCTGATTTCTTAACAGAGTAAGTTCGTACTAAGGGTGGTGGTGATGCTAAGCAGAGCCCAGTGTTCAGCAGGGCACCCATTTCCTTTAATTTATGTGGTTTGGCCAAAAAAAATTGCATTTTTACAATAACTGAAATTTAAACCGGTGATCTGAAGGCCAAGAATATAGTATTAAGTTTAGATAGTATCAGTACATAAATCAACGCCTTAATTTCCTCACGGTGAAAGAATTTTTAAAAACAAAAACACAACTTGGGGCTTTATCTGACGGTCAAGGTGCGCCTCCTACCGACCAGAAGAGGTAATGACATTGACTCAGTTCAAATTCGCGATTCTAGCTCCTAACGACTTCACAACCACCACACTCGCGTCTCCTTCCAGCTCCTGTGAAAAGCTGGGCGTAAATCCTGCATTTTATTCGACTCAAAAAGGTGTGCGCGTGAATTGTGACTTGCACATTAGAGAGGCTCCATGTGAGAGATCGCCCAGAAAATCTCTAAAGGACGTTGGCAGCACGAAATGACACTTGTTCCAGCGTTAACACCTGAGCCCGAACACGCTGTACTTTCTCTGTCGCCTCCTCTCTTTAACGACACGTGATTCTGTGTCAGGGAGACCCCGTCATCCTTTCAGACGGTGGCCACAGCCCAACCTAGAAGTTTAAGTTTCTCAGAAGTTCGGTAAATTGCCAGCAGACAAAAATAATTTGGATTAATTAAACAGCGACCAAGGAGTCTAAGAAAAGTTCCTCCACCCCCGGCCTCGCCCCGCTGACCCAGGGCCGCTGGCGGCAGACGCCCCGCTTTGCAGAGGCCAGGACGCCGGTCTTCGCGGCGCCACCCCCGGGCATCCCTCACCGGCGACTGTGCGCAGCTCCTCCAAACGCCTGTGAAACCCTGCCCGGTGGGCGTCTGTGTGAGTGTCAGTGCGGTGTGTTAGTGTGTCAATATGTGTTCATGCATGTGTTAGTGTGTGTGCACATCCGTGTGTCTGTGTTTGTGTGTGTTCGTGTGTGAGTATGCGTCTGTGTGTTACTGTGCATGTGTTAGTGTGTTGGTGTGTGCATGTTAGTATGTGTCTGTTAGCGTGTGTTTTTCTGTTAGTGTGTATGTCTGCGTGTTAGTGTATCTGTGTCTGTTAGTATGTGTGCATGCAGTGGTGTGTGTGCATGTTAGTGTGTGTCTGTGTCTGCGTGTTAGTGTGCGTCTGTGTTAGTGTATTCGCATATGTTTGTTAGTGTGTACATATTAGCGCGTGTTAGTGTGCTGGTGTGTGCATGTGTTAGTATTGTGTGTGCTGTGTGTCAGTATGTCTGTGTTAGTGTGTATCCGCGCGTGCCTGTGTTCATTCGTGAGTGTGTTACCGCGTGCGCGTGTTCACGTGGGCGCCCGCGCCGGTCCGGGCTCCCTGACCGAGTGAGTCCGGCGGGGCTCGGCCCCGGCGGCAGGTGCGGGAGGCTCTTACCTGCGCTCCGGCGAGGACGCACCCGCCGAGCAGCAGCCACCCCCAGGCGCCGGGCGACGCCCCCGGCGCGGCCATGCCGGGACCTCCGGACCTCCCTCCAGGAGCGGAGACGCTCCGCGCTCAGCTTGGCCCGCGCGGGGGTCGCGGTTGGGGCGGCCGTGCAGGGATGCGCCGGCGGGGATGCGCGGGCAGCGGCCCGGTCCGGGCTCCCGCAGGCGCTGCCTGCGACTGGGCCCCGCGCGCCCCGGCTCCGCCCCGGAGTCCGTCGGTCCCGCCGGATCCCGGCTGCCCGTTTCCCCTCCCCGCGCGGTCCTGGTCCAGCCCCGTCTCCGGGCGCCCGGTCCGCACGAGTGTCTGAAAGTTCCCTCCCGGACGGACGCGCGCTGGCCACCCCCGCGGGGGCGCCGGACAGCGGGGAGAGGCTTCTGCGGCCGCGTGCCGGACGGCCCTGCAGCCCTGCGTCCTCGGACGGCTTCCTCCTGACCAGGGTAACACACTGCGCGTGTGCGCGCGGGTGTGTGCGCGCGGGTGTGCGCGCGCGGGTGTGCGCGCGCGGGTGTGCGCGCGCGGGTGTGAGATTCAGCAGAAATCCCTGGGTCAAAATTTCTTTGTATCGTTTTGTGAGTTTGGGATCCAGGCACTAAAAAAAAGACAACCAATATACTTTAACGATTTGGGGTTATTTGTATAAACACCTTCGTTTGGGACAACTCTCTTCCTTTATTTTTCCTGGAGGCACAGTCAACAAGATGCCGGAGACCTTGCCTCACAGACATGGGCTGAAGAAGGTCCCGTCTCCCGGGTCTGACGCAGCCGGGAGGGAATGGCTCCCGCGGAGGAGCACTATTCCCTCAGCTGCTCCTGCCGGTGAAGAGCTGAGATTTGTAAAGGTTCCCTCACGTCTCCATTGTAATCGCATTGTTGATACTGTGTACGTGTGTGTAAACCGTCTCAGTGCCTCGTGGAAGAAGCGAGATCTGAATTACACAACACACACAGGCACACACCTGCAAAATCACCAAGTGAAGTTCACTTTCCACTTATTCTGTCGAAGATTTAAGGGATTTTTTAATGCTCCTTTTCAAAATAGAACTCTCGAAAGTTCCATTATCTAAAGTCTTCAGTTTGCTAAAATTATTGAAAATTATTAAGGGGTGTGCCACCCTACTCAAGCGAGAAGATAATGGCAATAGTAATAATACAGACAGACAGCATTTATTGAGCTCTGTATCACATTCCAGGTACTCTCCACAGAGTTAACTCATCTTCACATTACCTGTGAGATGGCATCTCCTCGTCCCTATTGTAGGTGAGGACACAGACACTGAGCCATCCGTCCACGGTCCAGATACTCCATCAGTGTGGCACCTCTCATCCTCTGTTCTCCTTGTGCAACAGCATCATTACAATTTGTTTCCCATGTTCCTTAGGCCTCACGAAACCAGAAACACTTTTCCAGCCAGTTTTTCTTTTCATTTCTTTGTTTGTGCCCCCTCCCCAAGCTTGAGAATCATTTGCTGTGCGTCCCAGCAGTGGTTCTGACCAGGGGAAGTTTTGTCCCCCAGGGGACATCTGGCAACTTTTGGTTTGTGTCACATTTTTTTGGTGTGTCACACTATGTGTTTCTGGTGTGTTAGGAAAATTTTAAAACAATTACACAAATTGCTGTGATATCAAGATATTTGTCACTCTTGCCATAAAATATTATAATTGCTTATATTATGGGTAAACTTGGAATAATTAGTTGAGTATTACAAACTGACATCTTTAAAAATCCTTTGGACAAAATTGGTGGAATGACTTACCCACCAAATCTCTATGCAAATGGCATCTTGTCAATCCTTAAAATCAATGAAGGGCAGGTGGCAGTTCTGATCATTCACATTCACAAACAAAAAACAGGATTTTGATGATAAAGGGACTCCATTTCAAGTAAATCATATTATCTGGTTATTTCTGGCAATGCTAGTTTTGGGTTTTTTTGGTGAGGAAGATTGGCCTTGAGCTAACGTCTGTGCCATCTTCCTCTATTTTGTATGTGGGATGCTGACACAGCATGGCTTGATGATTGGTGTGTGGGTCCCCTCCTGGGATCCAAATCCACAAACCCTGGGCCACTGATGCAGAGAGATGAACTTAACCACCATGCCACCGGGCCAGCACTAGTTAGGTTTGTTTTTGCTGTTATTGTTAGTTTGCTTTTGTCTTTTATAGGTCCCCTATGTCACATACTGACCACTGCATCAGAATCAGCGGGATGCTTGTTAAAATGCACATTCTTGGGCCTTACCTGCTGAATCCCAATCCCCAGGGCTGGGGTTCAGGAATCTGCATTTTTAACAAGCTCCCGGGTGATTCTCACACAAGATAAAGTTTGGATACCACTGTCTAGCCTGATGGGTCCACGAAGCTGGTGTGGGCTTGCTGGGTGGCTAAAGGTCTGCTAGCCCAGGACTCCTCCTTGAGAAGCGCATCACGCTCTGCAGTGAAGGGGTGGGAGGCAGGTCAGCAGCCCGCCTGCTTTGTACAGTGGGGACATGGGACAAGCAGGCCGTTAGCCTGACCCCCACAGCTACAGATGGGCAGCCTCTTTTCAGGAGGACCCTTCGCTTCTGTCTTGTGTGCATCTCTGAGTACAGATGCACTTCCTCGTTTTAGTTTGTGCTGCTTTCTAGTCTTTGTTGGGGAGGACTGAGGACCTGAAGCTCTGTCTGCCTGTCTCTCAGGCTCCATCCTCCTTTCTGGGCTTCTGGTGAGCAGACACGACTGTCCTGGAGCCTAGTCTGGAGGGCTTTATTGTGGGAGCAAAGATCCTGCTGTCAGCTGCTCTGTGTTTGGGGGAAGGACAACTAAAATGCTAAAATCACTTTATGAATTTGAGGTTGATTAATTGATCCTCAATGTAAGGTCACTGCCTGGATGGTTTCTCTAAGTCCTTTCAAGCTTTTGGACCCCAAGCTTAGGTATAGTGGTTGCTGCTGTTGCTGTGCGTGTCTGTCTCTGTGTGTGTCTGTGTATGTGTTTGTGTGTGTGTCTGTGTGTGTGTCTGTGTGTGTCTCTGTGTGTGTCTGTGTGTGTCTGTGTCTGTCTCTGTCTCTGTATGTGTGTTTGCATTTATATCTGCTTTTAACATTCCAGGAATTTCTCAATAATTTTAGTGTACCAATCTCATTCTTTGATGTTTTCCAGTATGATGAAGTTTGATTCTTTAAAAAAATATATACACTTCCTCTCATTTCGATGGGGCTTTAAGCAGGGAGTAGAATAAGTGTCTGTTCTCAGTGCACCCTCTCTTTCTGGAAGCCGAGGGTAAAATACGTATTTAAAAATTCTTAGTCACACTTTTTTTTTATTATAATACATGTTCCAAGAGCAAACTTTGAAACTGCAGAAAAATCACAAAGAGGAGAACGAGTCCCCCAGCACTCCGTTACCTCATCTTCTGTCCAGTCATCATGATTTTAAAGCAAAATTGGCCGTGTACAACGTAACATTTTTTAAAGGATGAGAAACAGACTCAATAGAAATGTGGGGCTGGGTGGGTTTCATTATTTAATTTTCTATATTTTCTGTATGTTTATTATATGATAAGATAGTCTAGAAGCAAGAAGTTATAAAATATTCTAGAAACAAAAAAATCACTGCGATAACTATCATTGAACGTGTATTTTTATGTAAATCATTGACTATTGTCTTAAAATAAATTTTTTAATCAAAATTTTGTTAAAAAGTTATGTGTTGGTTTGCAACCCCAGGAGCGCCCCCGATGAAGTTCGAAACTGGCTCCTGACACAGAGGACCAGGAGAGACTGGAGAAAGAGGTACACACCCCGGGTTGGTGGGCAGCAGGTGTGGTACAGAAGGGAACTTACTTGTCTTGGGGTCCGCGGGATAAGTAGATCTCCGTATCTGCCAGAATCTCTCTTTTTTCAATTATTTTATTGAGGTCATATTGGTTTATAACATTGTGTAGTTTCAGGTGTACATTATCATATATCAGTTTCTGTACAGAGAGCATCATGCTCACCACCAATAGTCTAGTTGTTATCCGTCACCATACACATGTGCCCCTTTACCCCTTTCACGCTCCCTCCATCCCCCTTCCCCCTGGTAACCACTAATCTGTTCTCTTTATCCATGTGTTAGTTTATCTCCCACATATGAGTGAAATCATCCGGTGTGTGTCTTTCTCTGTCTGGTTTACTTCACTTAACATCATACTCTCAAGGTCCATTCATGCTGTCACAAACAGCACAATTTTGTCTTTTTTATGGCTGAGTAGTATTCCATAATATATATATATATATATATATATGTACATACATACACCACATCTTCTTTATCCAGTCATCAGTTGACGGGCACTTGACTTGCTTCCACATCTTGGCTAGTGTGAATAATGCTGCAATGAACATAGGGGTGCATAAGTCTCTTTGACTTGTTGATTTCAAGTTGTTTGGGTAGATACCCAGTAGTGGAATAGCTGGATCATATGGTAGTTCTATTTTTAATTTTTTGAGGACTCTCCACACTGTTTTCCATGGTGGCTGCACCAGTTTGCATTCTCACCAGCAGTGTATGAGCGTTCCCGTTTCTCCACATCCTCTCCAACATTTGTTATTTCTTGTCTTGTTAATGATAGCCATTCTAAGGGGCATAAGGTGGTATCTCAGTGTGGTTTTGATTTGCATTTCCTTGGTGATCAGTGATGTTGAACATCTTTTCATGTGTTTATTGGCCATCCGTATCTCTTCTTTGGAAAAATGTCTGTTCATATCCTCTGCTCATTTTTTGATCAGGTTGTCCATTTCTTTTGTTGTTGAGTTGTGTGAGTTCTTTATACATTTTGGATATTAACCTGTTGTTGGATATATGATTTGCAAATATTTTCTCCCAGTTGGTGGGTTGTCTTTTCGTTCTGATCCTGGTCTCCTTTGCCTTGCAGAAGCTTTTTTAGTCTGATGTAGTCCCATTTGTTTATTTCTTCTTTTGTTTCCCTTGTCTGATAGACATGGTGTTTGAAAAGATGTTTCTAAGACTGATGTCAAGGAACATACTCTCTTCATCTGGGAGTTTGGGACAACTCTCTTCCTTTATTTTTCCTGGAGGCACAGTCAACAAGATGCCGGAGACCTTGCCTCACAGACATGGGCTGAAGAAGGTCCCGTCTCCCGGGTCTTACATTCAAGTCTTTAATCCGTTTTGAGTTGATTTTTGTGCACGGTGTAAGGTAATGGTCTACTTTCATTCTTTTGCATGTGGCCGTCCAGTTTTCCCAACACCATTTATTGAAGAGACTTTCCTTTCTCCATTGTGTGTTCTTGGCTCCTTTGTCGAAGATTAGCTGTCCCTGCCAGAATCTTAGAGCTTATATAGAGGACTTAAAGGGGTTTAGTCACATATACCATCCAGCTGGTCCCAACAACACCTTACTCTCTCGAGGCTGTGCTCTTGAAACAGCTCCCACTGTGGGAACGGTAGGCAGAGCATATGTTCCAAGGGC